CACACATGCACACCAGCACACACACCAACACACACACATGTCAGCACAAACACCAGCACACACGCACACCAGCACACACTCATGACAGCACACACACTCCAGCACACACCCACACCAGCACACATACACACCAACACACACACACCAGCACACATGTATACCAGCACAGACACCAGCACACACACACCAGCACACATACCAGCACACACGCACACCAACACACACACCAGCACACACACCAGCACACATGCACTCCAGCACACACACACTAGCACACACACACCAGCACACTCACAAGCACACGCGCACACCAGCACACACACACTAGCACACACACACCAGCACATTCACAGGCACACACACCAGCACACACACATGTCAGCACAAACACCAGCACACACGCACACCAGCACACACTCATGACAGCACACACACTCCAGCACACACTCACCAGCACACATGCACACACCAGCACACGCACACTAGCACACGCACATGCACACACACACACACGCACACTCAGAGCAGCACACACATCAAGCCTGCACACTAACCCTCCACGGGCCCCTCTGGGTTTCTCCTCTGCCAGGGGCTCCGTGGGCAGAAGTTTCGCTCGGTGCCCCCACCCGAATACACAGGCTCCTCCCGCCCGGAACCCTCTGCGCCCCCAAGTGCAATCTGGTGCTGGTCCGGAGACCCCGGCCTCCCCGCTCGGGCGCCCTGCGCGGACCCTGGCCCGGGGCCGGCCGGATGGCGGGCCTCCAGGGACGGCTGAGCGCCGACGGCGCCACCCCGAAATCTGCTCTCCATTTCACACTCCCCCGCCGCCCGCCCGGCTATTTTTCAGCCTCGTGAATTGCGGATTCATCTTGCCGACGCCTCCCCACCCGGGACCACCCCGCCCCCGCAAATAAATCCTATCCGAATGTGGGTTGAAGCCTGGGCCAAGCTACACATGAGTCTGGGGGAGCTCGCGCTGGCCCGCCTTCCGGCCGGGACAGGACGCGTGTTTTTCAGCCTTCCCGGCCTGGGGGGCTCTCGGCCCCCGCTCCCTGCAGGCCCCGCGGCTCTGCGTGCCGGCCGAGCTGCCTTCCCCTTTGTTCGAGCTGGAGCCGTGTGCTCTGTGTTTTTTTCAAACCCCACTTTATCTTCGCCCTGCTAGTTGCTAGCAAATAAGCCCAAATATTGATGTGAAATACGTCTTTGCATCTGGCCGCCTTCCTGAGCCCGCGCTCTCGCGGGTTCCCAGGGGCCCGCAGGAATGCACAGCCCCGCTCCGCTTTCCAGAACTTCTCCCTGTCATTTCCGACGCGTCCCCTGGCATTGTCCTCGGCTTCCAGAGGGGCGATGGGAAAACCAGGCATCCTGGAGGGGGCACGGGACGGGAGCGGAAGCGTGCGTCGACGGCGCGGCCTTGCTGCCGCCCCATCTGTCTCAGGACGGACAGACCCCTGACCTCTGACACCCCACTTCAGGCCCGCGTCATGAGCTCGGGAACACACCCCAGAAGGCAGGAAAAGTGGGAAGGGCGCCGGCCCCCGGTGCCGGCCCGCTGGGGCCCACGGCCGGGCTGTTTGCGCACATGCACTGCCCCCACTTCCTGCCGGGGGAGCGTGGCCACCGTGGGGCCGCCGGCCGCCCGATGGCCCTTCCAGGTGCCGTTCCCAGCCGCGTTTCCTGGCGCCCCCGACCCTCTTTCCTGCCCCGCCCGGAGGGCCCATCAGCGTGCGGGGGGTGGGGGTCGGCCGACCTGTCCCCCTGCCATCTCCTGCGGCCCCTCTGCTCCCCCGGCCTTTCCTTCCTCTGGGGGGGGGCGCTGAGGTCATCTGCCCGCCTGGACAGACGGGCCAGCGTCCCTCTGTCGCCGGCACAGGCAGGGCCTGGTTCCGACCTGGGGCAGGCGGGGGTGGGGGGGGAACCAGCTGCGAGCCCCCTCCTGGCTAGCGGGCCCTAGGGCAGGGGACTGGGAGGGGGGGCTTCCCAGCCAGGCTTTGCCCCCTGCTCCACGGCCTCTGGGAGCCCCCGGGGCGCCTGCCCCACCCCACCCCCACGGCAGCTGTGCTCTCAGCAGCTCTGCTGGGGCCCCCCATGCGCCCCAGGACCCAGGACCCGCTTCCTCAGCTCTGGTCGGCTCCCCGTCTCAGACCTCCTGCGTGTGGCCCACAGACACGTCCCCACTCACACGACTCCTGGCCTCGGGGGCTCTAGCCACACTCGCCTGGCTCTTGAGGTCGGTGTGTATGTGAGCACGCTCTGCACGGGCACATGCAGACACACAGGGGCACACACACAGCACAGACACGCACAGCACAGGCACACACAGACATGCAGACATAGGCACACTCAGCACACACAGGCACACTCAGCACACACAGGCACACACGCACAAGCACACACAGCACAGGCACATGCAGGCACACACACAGGCACACACACAAGCACACACAAGCACACACAGCACAGGCACACAGGAACACACAGCACACACAGGCACACACGCGCAAGTACACACAGCACAGGCACACGCAGGCACACACACAGGCACACACACAAGCACACACACAAGCACACACAAGCACACACAGCACAGGCACACAGGAACACACAGCACACACAGGCACACACAGCACACACAGGCACACACGCACAAGCACACACAGCACAGGCACACACAGGCACACACAGGCACACACAAGCACACACAAGCACACACAGCACAGGCACACAGGCACACACAGCACACACAGGCACACACGCACAAGCACACACAGCACAGGTACACACAGGCACACGCAAGCACACACACAGGCACACACACAAGCACACACAGCACAGGCACACAGGCACACACAGCACACACAGGCACACACACACAAGCACACACAGCACAGCAGACACAGGCACACACACAGGCACACACACAAGCACACACAAGCACACACAGCACAGGCACACAGGCATACACAAGCACACACAGTTCAGGCACACACACGCACACACGCACACACACAGCACAGGCACACAGGCACGCACAGCACACACAGGCACACATACTCGCACACACAGGCACACACACAAGCACACACAGGCACACACAAGCACACACAGTACAGGCACACAGGCACACACAGAGCACATACACATGCACACACACGCACAAAAACATGCACACAGGCATACACAACACAGGCAGACACATACACACACAAGCACACACAAACACACATATATGCACAGCACAGGAACACACAGGCACACACACAACACAGGCACACACACGCGTAGACACACGGACACACACACACATGCACACACATGCATGGCACAGGCACGCACACAAGTATGCACACACACACACACAAGCACACACTCATGGCACAGGCACACAGGCATACACAAGCACACACAGTTCAGGCACACACACGCACACACGCACACACACAGCACAGGCACACAGGCACACACACGCACACACGCACACACACAGCACAGGCACACAGGCACGCACAGCACACACAGGCACACACACTTGCACACACAGGCACACACACAAGCACACACAGGCACACACAAGCACACACAGTACAGGCACACAGGCACACACAGAGCACATACACATGCACACACACGCACAAAAACATGCACACACAGGCATACACAACACAGGCAGACACATACACACACAAGCACACACAAACACACATATATGCACAGCACAGGAACACACAGGCACACACACAATACAGGCACACACACGCGTAGACACACGGACACACACACACATGCACACACATGCATGGCACAGGCACGCACACAAGTACGCACACACACACACACAAGCACACACTCATGGCACAGGCACACACACAAGCACGCAAAGGCGCGCACACATGGTACGCACATGCCTCACACACGCACATGTGGCTGCACGGCGACCCTGAGCTCAGAGCCCGTGGACACGCAGGCCTCCTTGGGCCTCTGGAGGGAGTCGCAGCTGGGCATGAGCGGGGCCTTGCGGGCCGGTGTGCTGCCCGCCCCCCCCAGGGTCCCGCAGGTGTGAGCACGCAGGGCCGCCCGCACGGCCCCTGCACGGCGTCTCTCGGTGGAGGGGGCGCCGCGGCAGGCAGGGCCTCTCCTCCAGCCCATCTGCGGCGGCTGTCACTCGCCCCCCTTCATCCCCGCCTGACTGATGTACGAGCACCCCCTCCTGACGCACGCCAGATGCTGGATTATTTTATTATCCTTTGCTGAACGAGTTTATGCCTCGGTGGCTGTTCTCCATTAAGTCTGTGTTCGGAGTGTTATTATCTCTTTTCTTCCCCTTATTATTTCCATGCTTCTCTTTTTCTTGGGGTTAGTTTTTTGTTCCTTTTCTAATCTCTGGAATTGGACGTGGAATGGACTCGGCCCAGGGCTGCCTTTCTGAGGGAACCCGGGGCCTCCTTCCCCAGCAGGAGCCTCTGGGACCCCAGTTTTTCCGACAGCACCCCGTCCCGTGGCCCCCGGGGCCCCCGACTTGCTCCAAAGCTCGTCACTGCCCTCCAGCCGTGGGCCTGGTCTTCTTGCACTGCTGGGGGGGCTGGAGAGACTCCCCCGCCCAGCGTCCTGGGGCTCACGTCTGACTGTCCATCGGAGGGTTTGGGGCTCTGCTCCCATCTGCAGGAACTATGATGTGGGGGTGCCCCGGGGGTCTGCAGATGGTAGGGGGTGCTCGCCGCAGCACAGACTGGCTCCTGCTCTGATTCCGTGCGGTGGGGGTCCGGGGGGAGCACAAGATTCCTGGGGGTGTTTGTAAAGCCCCACCCGGGTCCACCCCAGGAACACAGCCAGGTGCTGGGTGCTCAGGATGGCCGGTCTCTTGTTCTCAGAGTGACGGAACAGCCGCTCCCGGCTCAGAGGCACCGCGTGGCCCCCAGACCCTCAGTCCTGCCGCGCTTTGATCTCCCGGACCCCTTCCTTTGGGGGGTCTGCACCCCCATCGATGAGTGAGTGCACACGGGTGGAAGGGGGTCTGACAGCTTTATTCATGGACCCCAGGGGATGGGGCAGTGAGGACAGAGACGACGGGGTGCTGGGGGCTCGTGCTGGACCCTCCGGGCCTGGGGGCAGGACGTCACTGTGTGGACCCCGGGCCTGGCTCTCTGCCTCAGGGGCTGCTCCGGTGCCCTCACTTCCAGCGCCCGCCGACCTTGCCCTTGGCGGTGGCCCCGGCCTTCTTGCTGCTGCAAGTGGGAAGCAGACGGGTGGCCGTGAGGGGCCGCAGCCTGGCCACCGCGCCTCTCTGCCGACAGCGCCACCATCCGGCTGCCGTCGGGCTGAGGGCCGCGGCCCCCCGCAGCCCCCAGCGCACACTCCAGCACAAGCAGCAGCCACTCACCTGGGCCGGCCCGCCTGCACCCGGTCAGCTCACTGGACCTCCCAGCCCAGCTGCACCGGCTCACCTGCACTCGACTCACCTGTGCTCAGTCAGCTCCCCTGCACTGGCTCACCTGTATCTCCCGGCTTACCTGTACCGACACGCCTGAATCTCCCGGGCTCGCCTGTACTCACCAGCTCGCCTGTAACTCCTGAGCTCGCCTGTACTCTAGGCTTCCCTGTACCTCCCGGCTCGCCCGTGCCTCCTGGGCACGCCTGTGTGTCTTGGCTTGCCTGTGTGTCTTGGCTTGCCTGTATCTCCTGGTTCGACTGTACTCCCGCTTGCCTGTAAGTTCCAGGGTACCTGTACTCCAGGCTCGCCTGTACCTCCTGGCTTGCCTGTACTCCCAACTTGCCTGTACACATCCAGGGCTCCCCTTTACTCCCAGTCTGCCTGTATCTCCTGGCTCGCCTGTACTCGCCGGCTGTTCTGTGTGTCCCAGCGTGCCTGTATCTCCTGGTTCGATTGTACCTCCTGGCTCGCCTGTACTCCCATCTCGCCTGTATCTCCTGACTCGCCTGTACATCCAGGGCTCCCCTGTACTCCCGGCTCGCCTGTACTCGCCGGCTCGTCTGTATGTCCCAGCTCGCCTGTATCTCCTGGTTCGGTTGTACCTCCCAGCTCGCCTGTACTCCCGGCTCACCATTCCCGGCTGGGTGAGGCTCCGGGGGGTTAGTGAGTTAGTGAGAAGTGCTCAGCGAGCAGACAGCCTCCGCTCCCTGCCCGCCCAGAGCCCGTCATCAGCCCTCGTCCCGTCACTCCTGCCCCACCCCGTGGGCATGGACTCAGCGGCTCAGTCTGCGGGGGACAGGCACCCACAGACGGGGCCTCCCTCTGGGCGGGCAGGTTAGTCTTGTCAGGGCCGCGCGGGGCTACTCACTGCTTCTGGGCCTGGTCAATGCGGCTCCGGAGGTTGGTGATCTGCAAACAACACGGAGGCTCACCCAGGGCCCCGCGACGCCCTTCCCGTGGCCAGGCCGGGCGGGCTCGGGCTCACCTCTGACCCCACGGGGCCTGTCTGTGGAGCCCCGGCCTGTGACTCAGCAGCTCAGAAATGCCACTTACCTGCCAGGGGTCAGGCCGCTCGGCCAAGCCCCACACGGCCCGAAGGCCCAGCCCTACTGGCCCGCAGGGGCACTGCCCAGGCTGCCAGCATGACCAGGGGCTCGCATGCCAGTGCCCGAGCACCACACACACGAGTCTGCCCCAGGCGGGCGGGCCTGCTACTCACAACTTGGCCAGCATCTCCACCCTGGCCCGGACAGTCATGATCTGGAAGGACCAAGACAGGGAGGCTGGCGCCTGGGAGGGTCTGGCCCGGGGGCGGCGGCGGGCGCAGGGTGGCCTGCCAGGGGCCCTCCAGGTGCAGGGAGGGGGATGGCTCTGGCCTGCGGCCTGCCCGGGGCCCGCCCGTGGACAGCTCAGGTGAGCGTGGCTGGCCCGCCGCTGTGCAACACAGCTTGGGGGGAGACGTCTCAGAGAGCCGGTGCCCCGTAGGGCCACTGCTGGGGGCCCCTGTCGCCCTGGGTGGCCCTCGCGGCCACTCCAGGCAGGAGGGACCCTGCAGGAGGGTCCGGCCCCACCCCAGCTGGGCCGCACTCACGTCGTATTTCTGCCGTTTCAGCTTCTCTCCAAACTCGTACTTGTCCAACTCGAGCTGGTACAGCGTGTCCCAGAGCTCCTTGGCCTTGTCCCTGGGGGCGCGACAACGTGGAGGGTTGGCGGGCAGGCCGGGCGGGCACCCACCGGCAGGCTCTGCAAGGGGGGGGGATGGCAGACGCCCCTCACCGGAGCTTGTCGTCACCGAGGTGGTCAATGTTGAGCGGCTTCCGCCTCTCCGCCAGGATCTTCTTCTTCATCTCGCGGGCGGTCTGCTTCTTGCCTCTCTTCTGGTCAGCCTGGACACACAGGAGGGGGCGTGTCTCGGGGCGGGGCCTCTGGAGGGCGGGGCCTACAGAGGGCGGGGCCTCTGTGCGGGCGGGTCTTGGTCTCAGGGCGTGGTCTCAGGCGCCTCTGCGGGGCGTGACTGCTCTGGGGCGGGGCCTCTGGAGGGCGGGGCCTACAGAGGGCGGGGCCTCTGTGCAGGCGGGTCTTGGTCTCAGGGCGTGGTCTCAGGCGCCTCTGCCGGGCGTGACTGCTTTGGGGCGGGGCCTCTGGAGGGCGGGGCCTCTGTTGGGGCGGGGCCTCTGTGCGGGCGGGTCTTGTTCTCAGGGCGTGGCCTCTGCCAGGGCGTGTCTCAGGGCGGGGCCCTGTGGGGTGGGCGGGGCTGCCTTGGGGCGGGGCCTCCTGCTGCAGGGCGGGGCCTCTGCGGGGCGGGGCTTGGCCTCAGGGCGTGGCCTCCGCAGGGGCCCGTCTCGGGGCGGGGCCTCCAGGGCGGGGCGGGGCCGGGCCCTCACCTTGGCCAGGTAGCTGCTGTAGTTGGCGCCCATGGAGGACAGGGCCTTCTTCTTCTTCATGTCATCTTCGGCCCTCCGCTTGGCGTCCTCCTCCTCTCTTCTGGCCTTCTCCTCCTGCAGGGACCCCAGGCGAAGGTCTTAGTGCCGGACGCGGCTGCGTGCTGTCCAGCGGGGGCCAGGCCAGGGGCCAGCGCCGGGTGGGCACCCACGCGCGCGACACTCACCGCCAGGCGGTTCTGGCGCTCCCGCTCCTTCTCGGCGCGAATGCGCTGCTGCTCCGCCCGCTCGGCGCGGCGCTTCTCCTGCGGCCAGAGGGCAGCTCAGCGGCCTGGGCACCCCGGCCCCCCAGCGCCCAGCGGGTTCTGCGCCAGGCCCCCACTCACAATGCGTTCCTTGAGGGCAATCAGCTCCTCTTCTTCCTTCTTGCGCGCCTCGAAGTGGCTGTCGATAAGCGCCTGCAGCTCCATGAGGTCTTTGTTCTGCCGTTTCTTCTGGATGTCCTGTGGGTGGGGCGTCGTGCCCATCAGCCCTGCTTGCCAAGGGACCCTCACCCCCCCTTCGGGGCCCAGGCCGCCTGCAACCGGGCTGGAATGGGTGGGCGGCTGCGTAGATGGGTGGGTGGGTGGGTGGACGGATGAAAGGAGGGGTAGGTGGATGGGTGGGTGAGTGGACGGATGGCTGCATGGATGGGTAGATGGGTGGGTGAGTGAGTAGATGGGTGGGTGGGTGGGTGGGTGGGTGGGTGGACGGATGGGTAGATGGATGGACAGATGGGTGGGTGGATGGATGGATGGATGGATGGATGGATGGATGGATGGATGGACAGATGGGTGGGTGGATGGATGGATGGATGGACAGATGGGTGGGTGGATGGGTGGGTGGGTGGATGGATGGACAGATGGGTGGGTGGATGGGTGGGTGTGTAGGTGAGGAGATGGTGGATAGACGGGTGAGTGAATGGACGGTTAGTGGAGGGACCAGAACATGGATGGGTGCATGGCTGATGGAGTGAGGGACGAAAGGAAGGAGAGGGGCGGTGGGAAGTGGACAGGAGCTCAGGGTCTGAAGGCAGGGGCTGGGCCCCCAGGGCTGGCCGACTACTGGAGGGAGAAGTCAGGCCGGAAAGCGCTTAGGCCGGAGACCTCCTCAGGCTTCGCGCGTGGGGGGCCTTGGGGCCGGGGGTGGGGACGGACCCTTGGTGATGGGGTCCCAGAAAACATACATCAAAGTCGACTTTCTCCCCTTCCGGGATCTTAGGAGCAGTGAGTCTGGGGGAGAGAGAGAGTCCGTGAGGGGCCGCAGGCCTGGTGACTGGGGGGCGAATCCCTCCCTGCCTCCTTCCCCGGGCGGCCGGGCGGCCACCTTCCTGGGGAGCCCCGGGAGAAGTCCTCGGCTTCTCGTTGGCCCCCTCTGCTGTGCCAGCCCTGGACACGGCCCTTCCTGCCGCTCAGGACGGTCCCCTGGCCCGGTCTGCAGGAGGGTGGCCGCCGGCCCCTGCCCCGGCTTTGTTCCTCGGCCCCCCAACCTTTCTTGCGAGAGCCCAGAGGAAGGAGGGGAGGGGTGTGCGGAGCGCAGGGAGGAAGGAGCAGGCCCCCAGGCCCACATCCCGCTGTGGCCCGCGGCCCTGCCCCTCCCCCCGCATTCCAGATGGAGCGAAGAGTTAAAACAACAAGAGCCATTTTTTACAACCGGCCCTGGAAGGAAGGGAAGCTGGATTATCCATCAAAACGCGGGCGGGAAAGGGTTCCAGCTCCAAAGCCCCAGAAGGTCCCGCGGAGGGAAGACAGCCAGATGATTCCAGGCAAATGAAAAACTTATGTATGTGCAGGGGGAAAAAAGCAAGGCAGGAGCGGGAGGGGGGACCCTCCCGGCTAGAAAAACAGTTTCAGCAAATACTGAGCCTTTATCCCCAGGCAGCGAGGTGTTAAGAAGCATTGAGCCCCTGGCCACTCGGGCAGAGGGGCACCAACCGCCAGCTCCCCAGAAGGGCACAGGCCGTTAGCCGTGGGGGGACTCGCCCGGCTGCGTGCAGGGAGAGGGGCCCGGGCACGCGGCCCAGGGCAATAACGGGGCAGCGGTGCCCAGCCGGCGTGTTTACCATGGGCAAACGGCAGAATGCGGCCCATTGGGTGGGCAGGGGAGGAAACTTGGCCAGGCCGGCCGATGGAATATTATGTGGCCATTCAAAATATTTAAGGAGCCGCCGTCCAAGCCCGCGGACAGAGCCGGCTTGTCAGGGCGCGGCTGGGGCTGGGGGCGCCGGGCCCTTCGGGAACACCCCACACTGGCCTGTTTTTCCAAGCCGCCCATGGAAACGGGGCAGGAAGAAACGGGCCTTTGATTCCTCTCTGCCCACCGTCTGGCCGCTGCATGGGAGACTCAGAGATGAGCTTTTTTCTGTGTTTGACTTTACGTAGTTTCCAAATTTTCTTTCATGAGGTGTTTTATTTTCATAATGAAAACACAAACATTTGTTTAAAACTAGAAAATTTCTGGGGATCCGGCAGCTCTGTTTAAAATTGCTGAAAACCCCAGTGTGGCGGGGAGGCAGGGAGGAATGTGGGCCCGCGGGGGGCCCTTCCCCTCCCCGCTGCGGGCGGCCGCCCCGGGTGCCCCATCCCGGAGCCAGCCGGAGCCATGAATCACGGGGAGGTGGGGCCCAGCGCCGCCCGCGCCCGGGCTCCGGACGGGCGGGCGGGAGACCCTGCTGCCGGGGGTCCGCGCCCGAGCGACCCCAGCCCCGGAAACCAGGTCCCTTCCAGAGCGGCCACGTCCCCCCCAGAGAGACCCCCGCCCGGCCCTCACCCCTGCCACAGCCCCCCGGGGCACCCCTAGCTGGGCCAGGCCCTTCCCTACTCTGCGCGCCTCCCTCAGCTTCCAGAACCTTCTGCCTGGCATACAGGGCAGGGGTCGCCCTGCTGCCTTGGACCCCCCCCAGGCTCCGTCCTCTCGTCTTCCTTGGGGCACCCAACAGCCTGTGCACAGACCCCACAACCCCCAACACACACACACAAACGCACATTCACACACTCACACACACTACCATGCTCACAACACACTCACACTAACTCACACCCACACACTCACACCACACATTCACACGCACACATACTAACGCACATCCACACACTTGCACACTAGCACATTCACACACCAACACTCACGTCCACTCACAACACACACTCGCACTCACATACTGACTCACATCCACACACTCCAACACACTAACACTCACATTCACACACTCACACACACTAACTCACATTCACACTCACACACACTACCACACCCACACACTAACACCCCACTTACACACTAACATCCACACACTCACACACACTAACTCACATCCACACACTCACACCTACTAACTCACACCCACACACTTACACACTACCACATTCACACACCAACACTCACGCCACACACAACACACACTCGCACTCACATCCTAACTCACATTCACACACAGTAACTCACATCCACACACTCCAACACACTATCACTCACTTTCACACACAACACAAACACACACTCGCACACTAACTTACATTCACACCCTCACACGTTCACACACTAACTCTCACATTCACACATTCACATACACACATACTCACACTCCCACCCACACTCACACCACACTCACTCACCCACATTCACACTCACACATCCTTTTACACACTCACACACTCACACTCACACTCACCCATACACCCACGCTCACCCTCACACTCACACATCCTTTCACACGCACACTCACACTCCCTCGCACACGCGGCCACTCACTTGGGTCTCGGCTTCTCCTCTGTCCACGCGGCACCGAGGGGAAGAAGAGGGGAGCGCGGTGAGCGGGGCAGCGCCGGACCCCAGACCCCAGAGCCGCGGCCCCCGCCCTCGCGCACACAGAGGCCCGTCCCCAGGGGCGCAGGGGACCCCCGCCCCGAGCCGGCGGCAGAGCTGCTGCTGCGAAGCGGCGAGACCCTTGGATGACGGGACAGACAGACGCGGACAGACGACGGCGGGCGGGCGGCCGCAGCGAGCCCAGCCCAGGGCCCACGCCTTACCTGCCCCGTCCTCCCCCTCCTCCTCGGCGGAGTCTTCGGGCCCTAAGCGCGCATGCGAGAGAGAAGCCCGCCAGCTGCAGGCCGGGGGGCGAGCAGGGCGGGGGGGGGGGGCTGGGGGGGTTGGGGAGCTGCTGCAGCGGCAGGGCGGGGGGCCGCGCCCGGGAGACCCCGCTGCAGCCAGGCCGGGCGCCCAGTTCCTGGGGTTCTCTGTGGGGGCTGCAGCATGGACAGGGAAGACCCCCCCCCGCCCCGGGGCTGGTGACGGGGACCCTGCTTGGCCAGGCCTCGGCCCCGGCCCACCCTTGCCCCTAGGCACCCACGGGCTGCACCCCGAGGTCTGTCCCGCTGGGGCCCCCGGGCCAGAGGGCAGGCCGGCACCCAGGCGGTGAGCGCCCGCAGGAAAGCACGGCGGGTCGGGGGCCCAGGGACCGACGGGGCACCCGGGCTCTGCCCCTCCATCCCAGGGCGTCTGTGGGGCCAGGCCCGCTCGCGCCAAGCCCGCAAGCCCCAGCCCAGCCTCTGCCCCGCCCGCGCCCTGCCGGGGCCCAGCACTGAGCCCCCACGTCCTGCGGTCCCTCGCCCCCCCACTCATCCCAAAGCGGGGCTGGGGGTGGCAAGCGGGCGGGGAGTGGGCATACCTTCCTGAACTTCCTCTGCAGGGTCGGCACATGGGGAGAGAGGGGGAGGGCGGGGGAGAGAGGCAGCGTGAGCGGGTGTTGCGGGCGCGCGCGCGGGGTGGGGGCAGCGGGCAGTGAGTGGGTTACTGGCCCTGGTTCCAGCTCACACGTGGCCTGAAGTGATGGCGCCTACCTGGTTCATGCACTTCAGGGGGGAGGAGGGTCGCGGAACAAGAGGCCGGAGGTCAGAGGTCAAAGGAGAAAGGAGGGAGGTTAGCGGACCCGTGGCCGAGAGGCCGGCCGAGGGGCCGGGAGCACCAGGACACTGCGCAGCCCCCGTCAAGGGGTGCTTGTGTGTGGCCGCCCCGCACCCTCCACCCCTGGATTTCCTGTGGGCAGCGCCCGTGCAGGACGTGGCCACAAGGCTGGTCCCGGGGGACCCCTGCATGGCGCCCGGAGCACGGGCCCAGAGCACCAGGCTGAGGGGTGCCACTCATGACCCCTGCGCAGGGACCCCCTGGTCGACGGCCCCCCTGGGTCGGCCTCCCGGTCCAGCGTGGCCGTGGTTAGGGGTTAGTGGTTAGCGGAGAAGCCACATGGAGGCTGGGGCTGGCTGGCGCTCACGGTCCCGGCCACCCCGCAGCCAGCCCCGGGCCCACATGGGGACCAGAAGTCGGAGCCCCATACCTTCTTCCTGGACTTCTGCAGCGGACGTGCGGGTGGGCGGCGGAGAGAGAGGACAGGGTTAGTCCTGGGGTCACTGCACAGCCTTAGGGGGCTGCGGGCCGGGGCCTGGCCCTCTCTTACCTTCCTCCTGGGCCTCTTCTACGGGGTGCGAGGGGTGGGGAGGAAGCACAGGCGTTACTCGGGGGGTGCTGGGGTCTGTGTGCAGGCTGGCGGGGAGGGGGGCGCCGCGGGGTCCTGCACTGGGGGCTCCGAACCCTCCTGCCGCCCGCCCCTCCCCCCCGGACCACCATCCCGCTCGGAGCCCCTGTCTCCAGCAGGAAAAAAAGTCTCACTCCTGTTGTTAGGGGAGCCGAGTGTTTTCAAAATATTTTCAGAACCCAGCGCCCAGAAGGCCTCAGGGGGAGCTGCCTCGGGCCGTGCGAGCCAGGGCTTGGGGGGCCCCCAGCGGGGGGCAGCCTGGGAACCGGCTCCCCCCACAGTTCCCACATGCCGGCCCGGCCCACCACCGCCGCCAGGCACGACCTGGGCCTCACACATGGCAGACGGGTGCAGGGGGAGGGTGCAGGTGACGCCCCAAGGCTCCAGCTCGGAAGAGTGGGTGTGGAGTGGAGAAAGAGACAGAGACAGAGGGAGAGACAGAGACGGGGCAGAGAGGTGGGACGAGGGTGGGGGTAGGTTGGCTGAATCCTCCCCCAGCTCTGCACAAGGGGGACGGCGAGGGGAGGGGGGAGGGGGCGTCGTTAGTTCCTGAGGGGGCCTGAGTTCAGGACCCCCGGCCTGCCTGGGGGGGGGGGGGAGTCCAGGCGGGCCAGGGAAAGGGGTTAGCAGCTGGCCGGGCGGCCGAGTTACCTTCCTCCTCGTACTGCTCTGCAATGGAAAGACCGGGACCCCATCAGTCACCCCAGCCAGCCACGTGTTGCCCAGAGCCCTTCGCCAGAGATGGGGACTGGCAGGGGTCTTGAGGGGTGGGCTGCAGGGTGGGGCCTGGAAGGGAGTGAGGGCCCTACCCCACTGGGATTTCATGGGGCCCAGGTGTCAGGGATGTGTCCTTGGAGAAAGAAGGGGTGGGGGTGAGGTCCCTTTCCTGAGGGGTCACCTCCAGCCACGGGAGGGGAGGTGTGGGCTGCAGACCCCGCCCAGGCGAGGCAGGGGAGGAGCTGGCCGTGGGCCCCGCCCAGGCAGGGCAGGGGAGGAGCTGGCCGTGGGCCCCGCCCAGGCGAGGCAGGGGAGGAGCTTGTCATAGGCCCCGCCCAGGCGAGGCAGGGGAGGAGCTGGCCGTGGGCCCCGCCCAGGCAGGGCAGGGGAGGAGCTGGCCGTGGGCCCCGCCCAGGCGAGGCAGGGGAGGAGCTGGCCATAGGCCCCGCCCAGGGGAGGCAGGGGAGGAGCTGGCCATAGGCCCCGCCCAGGCAGGGCAGGGGAGGAGCTTGTCATAGGCCCCGCCCAGGCGAGGCAGGGGAGGAGCTGACCGTGGGCCCCGCCCAGGCAGGGCAGGGGAGGAGCTGACCGTGGGCCCCGCCCAGGCAGGGCAGGGGAGGAGCTGACCGTGGGCCCCGCCCAGGCAGGGCAGGGGAGGAGCTGGCCGTGGGCCCCGCCCAGGCAGGGCAGGGGAGGAGCTGACCGTGGGCCCCGCCCAGGCAGGGCAGGGGAGGAGCTGGCCGTGGGGCCTGCCCAGGCACAGCTCCGGGTAGAGGCGAAGGGTGCCGCACAGCGTTGACACTTACCCTCCTCCACCTGTTCCCTGCGGGGGGGAAGGGGCACTCAGCAGCATGGTCGCCACACCAGGGTCCCGCCCCCGGGGTCCCACGGTACTCACACTTCCTCGTCAGACATGGCGGCGGCTGGGTGCTGTGGAGACAGGGGGCAGGAGCCCTGCTCAGCTGAGCTGACTGGGGGGGTCTCAGGGGACAGGCCTGGAGTCTGGGTGTCGGGTGCCCCTGCCCCACCCCCGGGACCGGCCCCTCCGGGGTCTCTGAGGGGATTCGGTTCTTTCTTGCGTCCCCCCGGCTGCTGCCCCGGCTGTGCTCAGGGGTGCGGGGACCGACCCCGAGGCCCCACATGCTCCGTGTGCCCACAGCCTGGGTGCTGGGGGCCTGCCGGGGCCCGCGTGGCCTTCTGCCGTTCCCGGACCCCGAGAGAGCGAGGAGCCCTTCTCCCGGGGCCGTCCCCTAGTCAGGACCCGGCCCCGGGTGCCCACGTGTGCACTCCGGGGGTCGGGGGCCGCGTGCAAGGGCCTGTACTCGCACGCAGACGGCGGACGTGCCGGGCCCCAGGGCCGCCGCACCCCCTCACACCTGCCGCCCGAGGGGCGTGGCGCCCCACCTCTCCCCAGGGTTATTTTTAAGGGGCAGTGGCAGCTGAGGTTCCAGAAATAGGCACCAAGTCAGCCGAGACTCCTCTGCCCCGAAACCCAAGACGGCGCACGCTGGGGGTGGGGGGCGCGCAGCCTCTTGTCCTTGGAGCCCGCGGGCAGGAGCCGCAGGCTGGGGTGTCAGCTGACGACAGCTGGCCCCGCGACGTCCTGCTTGGTCAGCTTCTTGGGGACGGGGCGGGCCTCCTCTCACCCTGACCCCCCCCCCGCCCTTCACCCCCCGGGGCTCTGCTCCTGGGCCCAAGCTGCTGCCCCAACCCGCACCCCTGTCCCCCCATCCTGTCCCCCCGTGGCAGTGGCCTGGGTGAGGCCGGGAGACGAGAGGCCAAGGAGGAGATGGGGTGTTCTCAGGATGGTCGCCGTGTCCAAGCCCGTGGCCACCTCCCCCCGGCCTGCCCAGGACCCCGGGTCCCTCTGCCGGCCCCCATGGCCCACCCGACCAGGCCGTGTCAGCCCGGCCGGGGCCCGCGTGCTGCGGTGGAGGGGCCCCAGGGGCGCCACAGTCACAACGACCCACCTGCGAGTCCGAGATGCGGGCTGGGCTCCCTGCGGACAGGACGGGTCGTCTCGCCCGCCTGGGCCCCGGGTTATAACCACACCCGCGGGCGCTGCCCATTGGCCACGGGGCCCCTGACCAAGTATAGGAATGCCGGGCGGGTACGGGCACGGCACAGCCCCCCAAGTGTCAGCTTCTATTTTTACCCGGCAGCAGTGCATTCTTGAGGCCGGTGGGGGCCAGGGGGCGGTGGGTGTCCCCGGGATGCAGCTGGGGGTCGTCGTGGGAGGGTCCTGCCCCCTGCTCCCCTCGAGGGGCCCTGTGCTGTTGGCCCTCCTGGGAGACCCCACGTGGGAGGACCTGGGTCCCCGTGTCAGTTCCCGCCTGCCTGTGCCCCCCAGGAGCAGAGCCCACCGTCACGACTGACAGCCCCTGGGGGACCCATGCTCCGGGGGGCCTTCCCAGCACTCGGGTGACCCCGGCTGGCCGAGGGGCTCTGTCCAGGGGCGCCGAGCCCCAAGCAAGGACAGCAGTGACCCCAGAAAGGACCAGAGAGGGGCCACACATGGGCCACCAAAAGGCTGCCTGTCCAGTCTCTGCCCACTGGCCAAGAGCTCAGGGTCGGGACGGCTGTGTGCCAGGCCAGAGAGGGCTCCCCTGCCCCCTCCCTGACGTCCCCACTCTGATACATCCCCGATCCACTTCTGGACCCTCAGAGGGACAGGACGCCCCCCTCCAAGCCCCCGTGGACCGGCTTCTGTGGGTGACAGGCCCCGTGTGGCCAGCACCCACCCGCCGGGTCCCGGGACGCCCTGTGGGTTGGGGTGTGAGGGTGGCGTGCCCAGATGCTGCCACCGGCTTCTGGGCCGCGTGGCCAGGCCCACAGGGGCAGCTGCAGTGGCCCTGCCCAGCCAGCAGAGGCCGGTGCTGCCCGCGGGTGGCCGGCCTGCTACCGCATGCCCGCGTGGGCAGAGCCCGGGAGCTGGGCGCCAGGGCCGGGGTCAGGGCACGCTTGGTTTATTTTGGGCCCCGGCACTCTCCCGACCAGCCGGCCAGGCTGCCGGGCGCAGGACAGCGTGAGCCGAGGCCCGGGGACAGGTGAGCCTCCCTCACCGCCAGCCTGGCCAGGCCTCCGGGGGGTAGGAGAGGGCAGAGACCCCCCGGCACTGGGGGCAGAGTGGAACTGAGGGGAAGTGAGGCTGGGCCCGGCTGCTGCGTGCAGGTACCAGGAGGCCTGGGGCCACGGGGACCCTCCCTCTGGCCACTGGAGCGCCCTTCGCCGGCCTGGCATGGTGGACGGAGTAGGTGCCAGCTTGTGGGCACTGCCAGGCCCCATATAGAACCTGCTGAGTTAGCCGTGGGCACCAGGAGCTGGACGCTCAGCGCTAGGAGCCGGGTGGCGGGGCCCGAGGGGACGGGGGGGGGGCAGGGAGGATGGCAGGGGGGCAGCCGCGCTGTCTCTTAGGACTGGACACCCCGTCTCCT